CCCCAAGAAACCCATCCAGCAATTTGCCATATACATCCAAAGGGCCCTAAAATTGAGCCAGGGGTATATCAGAACCTAAATAGCAACAATCCTGACTGGTGTTACCATACTTCTGTGGATCTAAATCCAAAACATAAACTTGATTCTCCATTCTTCCTCGAAAGCCTGACAAACGGCAATTTTGCACCAATATTCACAACCATTTTTTAGTTAAACCAGCTGTTGAGAGCCATTTTGTAAAACTTTGCTATTTTTTGGGTTGTATACCAGCTAATTTGCCTCAATTTCTCCAAGCAAAAAGTCAGGAAGTAGTCGTTAATAAGATGCAAAGGCCGTTAGTTAATGTTTTCAAATGCGTTTCAAATTTCGCGTTTGATAAAAAAATAGTTTGCAGATTGTTGCAAATTGGTCGTTTTAAAGCGCATGTTCAGGGAGGGGCCGTGTACTCGTCCCAACGTGTACACCCAATGGACGTAGGGACCGCGCGCACGGCCTGCCCGTGCCGTAGGAGGCCATTTCCCTCCTTTCCGGGGTGGGGCGCATCGCGGCCCTCGCCAGGTTGCACCTGTGGCTGACTGGTATGCGACCGCGTTCGACCCCCGGCCGCGGCAAAAATCTTTGCTTTCTTGCCCAAAAGCGTCCCTGAACGTGCCCTTTAGGGGCTTTCGAATGGGAGTAAGTTACTCCGTACAACTCGAGTAACGATCATTCTAATCCGATACTTCTCCGTCGCGTGAGAGGGGGTGCTTTTTGGGACAGCATTTAGGGTCATCAGCCAGGATTGTTGTTATTTAGGTTGACCGCCAAATGCCGGATGGGCCTGTTTTGGGAGCGTCCGATAAACTTGCATCCCCAATTCAAGCCGAAACCCAATCGGCTCAGATTGCCGATTGAGGGCAGGATGAGGGTTAACAGAACCCATATTATACTGAAGCGCGCGATCCCCTGGGCATAATTCCCATCGAACGCGACGGTGAGACCACTAAAATAATCAGGGTATGCACGTATTAAAGGTGCCATCACCGCGTAATCGCCATCCCAAATCGCAACAGCCAAAACCATTTCTGTACGACGATATGCAAACTAGTTACATAGAGATTTATGAAGATGTTAGTGGTGTCTTTGTGGCAGATCCATCTAATTGTAGCAAATATTAGGTACTGTTCTATTTCGCGGCGGGGGATTGTGAGGAGCGAAAGTGTTCTTCGTTTTGTGATAACTCTTTTATATGATGCTATTTTGAGTTGTAATCAGGGACGTAGCGTAATACGCCCCCCGGGCCCGGGGGGCGGCCCCCCCGAAATCGTCCGGGGCCCGAAAATTTCATAAGGGGGGACCCTTATGATTTTTATTTTCTCAAAAATTTTGCTGCCTGCGGCGCTTATTTTTCACATTTTTACTTCGATTTGTAGAGCTATTTGACGTTTTTTTCAAAAATTTTTGCCTGCGGCGCTGTTTTCTCGTTCATCTTTTGAGTTTTTTGGAAAAATTTTTTGGGGCCCCCCCGAAATTTTTTTCTGGCTACGCCCCTGGTTGTAATTAGAACTCTTAGTATATTTTTTGACGCTTTATCGAATGGCTATAAAGGAATTTTTGAAAAATAAGGTTTTCGAAAATGTCGAAAACTAGCTTTCGACTCCACGATCCCACGTGGAAACACCAAACCTTGTTTTTGCTATAACTATTTTATAAAACAATATTTTTAGACGAAATCAAAACTCGCAGTATATTTTTCGATTATCTATCGGGTGACGGGTTCAAAATATCGAAAAACTGGCGAAATCCGAAAACTAACATTCCGGCACCAGTTTCAATAGTTTTTTCTTGTTTTTGCTATAACTTTTATATATTACTAAATTTTTAGCTAAAACAAAAACTCGTAATATATTTTTTGATGCTCTATCGAATGGCTTTGCAAAAATCCCGAGAAAATTGCGAAAAGATGGAAGTTTCCGCGAAGCATATTCCCCCCCCGCATAGTTTTCCCCCCACCCCCCGCGAAATAGAACAGAACCAAATATTATAATATGCATTAATCAATAAGTTTTTTCGACGGCAGACTTACTCTTCTATGCAGCGATATTGGTAGAACCGGATAATGCCATCATAGATCGTGCCAATTGCATATGGGATCAAATAAACAAAAATAGTTTGAAGGGACGAACGCGAGCGAAAAGTAATCAGCAGCAAAAGGGTAGCCAAGCACAGTTGCAGGGCTCCGACCTAGATGATGTTTAAATTTGTAAGAAAAATTTAAAATGCTATGACATTTTTTATGTATGAATCGATTGGTTTCTAAATCGTTTTAAGCCGTTTAACGTCCAAAAATTGACCGAACCGGGGAGCTCCGCGGTTATATTTGCGCGAGCGCCAACCTAATAAGTCCAACTCACCGCGAATAGCAGCGGCCCGACAATGGCATCGGTTCGCAGCACCTCGTCGCCGTATTCTTTTAGATAAAGTTTCTTTGGAATTAGTTCTCCGGTGTATGTGAACTCCGGATAAGATGGCATACGCTTCATCGATTCTGGAACTACCGTATCTTACTATACAGAGTGTCCCAACCCCCCCCAGTTAGCCAGCGGGCGCCCATGAAGCTGAAAATTTGGACAGAGCTAGCAAAGGTTGCGAAAAATCTTATATGTAAAGTTACTGCTTGTGTGTGCCACTTTTGCTTGGAACTTCCGTGCGTGTGTCGGGAGATTATCACAATCGTGGAGCATTTTTAAGCGTGTGGGATACGTCATTAGGTGCGTAATGGCCCTAAGATGCCTACACACTTATCAGGTTTCACAATAAACTATCTTCGAGGTTAAATTTGAGTTTTTGCAAAACTTCCAGGAACGCTTTTCGTCAGGAAACAGTTAACATAGATCGGAAATGACTGTAGACTCAGGAATTTAATTTTTTCATCGAGATTCGTGGTGAAGTGTGCAAAGCGCCGAAGAATATGGATTTTGGACGGGGCCAGGTGAAAATCCGTGTACGAACTTCGCGAAACGTACGTACGTAATGTAACGAAATAGCGTCGAGGAGATGCAGTGAGACTTAAAGAACTACAGTAATGCAAAGATGCCTAAAACTCCAAGACAAACTAAGTTCATATATGGGTGCGTTTCGCGAAGCAGGTGAGTTAATAGGGGGTCTTAAAAGACCCGCAATTGTCGGTTCTGATTGAATTTGAAGCAACCGTAATTAAGGCGCCTGTAGCGTGACAAGGAAACGAACGCATCGGAGGCGGAAGTCGTCACGGCAAACAGCTTCTAGTTTGGATATCCGACGTCCGAGCAGGTATTTTATGGCCAGACTGCAGGAAATATGGGCACAGCGAGTGAAAAATGCTGCATATCGGGTCCTGCTGACCTTTTATTTGCCGATAATTGCGGTAAGTGGGCTCATTTTTAGTCGCGAAAAGATTCGTAGTGTTGAAGTTGGCATATTATGCAATTTTGATTTCTAGTGCGACTTTGAGAATTTTCGGCGATCGTTTTTTCGACATTTCTATAGGAGTCCTAGTTAGCAATCCACCGCCAGTTATTTTCTTAAAAGTTTTCCAGGAGACTAAACCAATTTTAGTTGTGCTTGGTTTCATTACCACTGCACAGCTACGCATCGTGGATAGTCGTCAAGAACAGATCGTTGGCGTTTACCGTCAAATTTTTAATGGCGCTGCTGGCACTTCTGCGGCTGGCCAGCGCCATTTTGCGGAGTTTTTTTGCGATGTGCTATCGTCGGTAAGGTGTTGCCTGATTTGCGCTTTAACTGCAGGGTGTGCAAAAATAAAGGCCCCGCTTGCATTTCGTCATCTCCGGTTCCTAAATTTTGGACAGAGCAGCGGTCTAAAAGTATCTAAATGTTCATAGAAACTATCAGCTACAGTAGTTGTCGGGTTATTGAAATGAATAAGCGTTATTTTAAATTTTTCACCGGGGTTTCGACTGGATTTTGACTTCAGCGGGATGACGGATTAAGAGCCGGAGCGCAAAAGAAGCCGAAACATGCAAAAAAATTTTTCAAAAACGGTAGTTTTGTAATGACCCAAAAACTGCTGTTACTGTTGCTAGTGGGCTGAAAGTTTTTGTAAATATTTAAAATTTCTCTGTGCACGTCTGTTGAAAATCTCGCGTCGAACGGACCCGAAATGGCGGAATGCCAGCGTGAAGTTTTTGATTGGGACACCCTGCATACCTTGGCATAGGAAAAACTGCTGGTATCCGGTGCTGCAGATGGGCGGTTCGATTTATCCCACCCCTACAAATGCCGTGGTTAGCGCGCTCTACCAGATTTCGAACCGATGGATGGTATTTTTGGAATTGGGACTTTCTATTAACAGGTACAGTGTTCGGGTCTGGAGCGTTAGCGGGCTCCACACCGTTATGGCCTTACCAATTTTGGGATCGGCGCTGGGGACAGGATCCCCCGCCGATCTCTGCCCCCCCCGTTCTTTCTTTTTTCCCCCGCCCCCCCCCCTCTCCCCCCCCGGCCCCTAAAGGGCCCCCCCCCCCCCGTTTTTTCCAAGACATTCCTTTTTATTTTAAAAAGTGGGCTCTGGTAAGGACCAAAGCTCGCAGGTACGAACTGCACTACGTAATGTATCATGCCTTATGCACCTACTCGCCTTCTCAGAATCAAAATTTTTTCAATATTATCGCACCTTAAAAAACATCAATTTTTGCGAAGAACGTTATGCTCAGTGAAACTTCTTCTTTTGCCAATTCTATATGCCTTTCATTGAACTGAACCAAAAAAAAAACTTTTAAAATAGCTTCAAAAATAATTAAAAAACTAAACTATTCAAAAGAAATTGGCGTTATAATTAATCTCTATTGAAAGAATAGTCTTCCAGATTTTTCGCCCTATTCTTCGATGGTAGGTACTATCGAACCGTGCAAAAAACGACAATTCCGCTGACAATCGTGACATTCGTGCTGACAACGTCACCATTTCTGATTGGAATACACGCGAAAAAGGTGAAAAATGCCAATTATAAGGGCACCGTGATGTACGGCGACTATATCAATATGGAACACGAATTGAGCCATCCCTATGAGACCACTGAATTCCAGGTGCACATGATAAAAAAGATCAAAAAATAGGCTTTTTGTTATGCGGGGGGCTATTGGACTGTTAGCAGGGGGAAGTTAATTCTTCTCACTTCAGTAATCCTGCAATCCCATAAAAAATATAGGCATTTTACACAGTTTTAAGACGTAAAAACTTATAAAACAAGTCCAGAAAATCTACCAGTTTTAAAGAAGTGTCGGCTTTTTTCTTGTCAAAATCTCATTTTTTCAGAAAAACCTCCTAAACGGTTTCGAGCACTTGTTCTTCCATATTTCGGCAGTGAGCATTGCCCTCGACGTACTTACGTATTTGCGCCTCAAGCTGAGCGTCAGTCAGTTTGACGAGCATCGATTTTCGAGCTTCAGATGCGCCACCAGGCCTCAAATCAGAAAAGCAGTGCCGACCTGAGGCTTTCTATCATGGTAATCCGAATTTTCTTCATTTTGGTAAAAGTCGCTTAACGGGGGATTACGGGTTGGAAACAACTTTTGTAATTCTAAGTTATCCTGCTATTTTGGAACCGGGATCGAATAGAGTCCGCAAATTATATAAGGTAGGATCTCCGACGTTTTAGGCCATTTCGACGCACGTCGTGCAAATGTTGCCTACGGTGCTTTGAAAGCCAGATTTGCCGGGTTCCGATGGGTGCTATCCCACCTGGTCACCGTCTACAATTATCATTGGCACACCGTGCATGCCGCTTCACAACTTTTCATGTCGTAAGTGCTCGAAGATTTAAATTACCAAATTAGATATAAATGAAATAAATAATCAAAATCTGGACGGCTATAGTATAATCTGCCCTTGATTTCAGAATTATCGTCATCATCCTGATGCGGCCATCCGCTATAGAGAAAAGGCCGCCGAATCTACGAAAAACGAAGACTAACTCGATTGATTAATTGCCGCCTGGCGAGCAAAATAAAACCACGATCTTCATTTCATGTTTGCGAGAAATAAAAAAATATCTGTTTTCTTCTATTGCTTTGCGTTTAATTTTCACAGTTCATTGAAGAATTTAAAAATGTAAAAAAGGCCGGTGAAGCTTTGCACGGCGCTCCTGACTGATTGTGAACAGTTTGAACTGCTAGAAGCCGCTGTAAATGCTCAAAATAAAATAAAAAACAAATCACTCTAATACATCTCTAATAAAACCTCTATCCTGAAGTGATTCTAAAACGGAACTTTGGTTATGTTAGTAAAAAAATACGCTATGTCTTTTGCCGCACGTCCTCTCCCTCTCTGATAACTTGATGGTTACGAAAAGAACTTTATTTGAAAGCTTTTAGGTGCTGTCACTGAGAACTTTTAATTTTTTTGCTTTTTTGAATGTTATTTTTGGAGCCTTTTTGACTATGCTTTCATTGTTCTTGAAGCAAGCTTTCTCTTCCAAATCCGAAGTCGAACCCAAAAATTTCAATCTATGACGGCCGAAATTGAGGTGGGTCGCCCTCCAAAAAGCAAAGAGCAAAAATTAAAAGTTCTGAGTGGATTCGAACCCTGGTAGGTATTTCAAAAAACTGTTCAGTTAGCAATTGACTAACTTGCTGCTGATGGTAGAGACGTAGAAGCCCCCAATAAACCGCAAGTAGCATGTTAATTTGGCGTATGCAAATGGCACCTTTTCCGGAAGTGCCGTATCTCGCTTCACAGGGCTCGGTGGAAAATTCTGGCAACACCATCGTGTTCCCCGTAGCCGATAACCTGGGGGTAGCCGCAAGCGTTTTTCGAATTTCCAGTTCGTGTACTTGCCCTTCCCTTGTGAATCCCATTTACTATTGTTTTTGATAGAATTTCGATAGGGTTGTGGCAATCGTGCTCTGAAATAATCTGAAAATCCGCTTCACAGCTGTTCATGTCGTAAGTGCAGGGAGATTCAACGAATTTCGGAAAATAAAATAAATAGTAAAAATTAGCTGTGGTAAATAGTAAACAGCTGTGGCGTAATTTTACCCTTGATTTCAGAATGATCGTCATCTTCCTGATGCGCCCATCCGCTATAGAGAAAAAGTCACCGAAGTTGCAAAAAACCAAGATTAACGCGCTTGACTGATTGACGCTTGGCAACAAGGACAAAAGAAAAAGACATCAGTTTTGCATTTAAGAAGCCAAAAATGTGGAAAAGTTATGCTTAGGCTTTGCATGGTACTCATTATCGTTCTCCTCGCTTTGCATTTTCTCATGTTGTCGACGCTCCACTTCCTTATTAGGATCCACAACATGTATATTTTGTATTCATAAATACCGTGTCTAAAAGACCGGAATACCGAAAACCACATTAATCCCACATCCACGTGTCGTAAATGGTAAAATTGTTAAATTTCTCGATCTACCAGGGACACAGCATTATCGATGTTTAAGTTTGGCTAATTGTCGGCCTTTTCACTATTTCGCCAATGGTCAGACATTCCGTAGTCGTTCGGTAATATTTTTCTTTTGAGAGGTTTTTCTTCTCGCGGTGCGTTGTTAAAGCATCTGTCGGCATTTCGGTCTTTTAGACACGGTATTTATGGACAATGTCGGCATTTTCCACCAGGATCCATGTCTGGGAATTGCCATACTGTCTATTTCGATTTTGCATAAATTAACATCACGCGACTTCCGACAAGTTATTTTGCAGGCAAGTTAACTTGCCATCAAACTGAGTTTGCATGGCAAGTTGACTTGCCACCAAAAAAACTTGCCAGCATTCGAGTCAAAACTTGGCAAGCTATTTTGCCATCGAGTTGAGTTTGCATCCCAAGTTTACTTGCAAACAAAATAACTTGGCCGGATCAAGTAAATTTCCTGGCAAACAAACTTGCGTGCAAGTCAACGCTAACAACCCTAGGGCTGATCCGAACCGTTCCTTTTTGATTGAGCTGAAGGACGATCTTTGTTAAAAGGTGCGGCTGGTCCTGTCATTTCCGGCTTTTTTTCAAATACAGTGATTGAAAAAATTTTTTCTGGAAATTCTCGAAAAATTTTCTGAAAAATGTCTTTATGATATGAAAGTGAGGCAGAAAACAAAAAGTGGCAAGAATCTTTAAGTCGCCTTCTGGTCCTTCGTCTTGTTTTTGGCCGATCGGGTCTCACGCACGGTATGCACTGTCCATCGCCAGCAAGCCGACCAGCGCCCCGATGCAGAAGCACATCACGCAAAGAGCTGCGGTATCCATGGGTATCTGCGGTATCTTAGCCAACTTCCCGATCGCTCTCTAAAATTTGTGCGTCAAAATTATGATTGCCGTATTTCCTCTACCACAACCCCGGGGTTATTTTCGAATCACCGCAGGTGATGGTTCCTATTAGAGGGAGGGACATATTTTTCGCCATTTTGAGCAATTCCAACGATTTTTAGCAGTTCAAGCTGCTCACAGTACAAAGCTTTAGCATAAACGGTTTTGGCTTTTTTACTTTTTCAGGCAACTTCGAAAAATTTTTGGGGGATGTTGCAGGGATACTCTCTACGTTATTTTCCTATCCAAAACTCTTTGCAACTCGCGTGTTCTCTCACCTCGCAATGAACTGTGATCAATCCGTCATCCACCTGGTGCTCCAAGAAATTTGTCGTGGCGCTCCTGTAAAGATAAAATATCGAGGGCCATAGATTCCTGTGAAAAGTCCTGCTAGCTTGCCTGCGCTTTCATGGTCATAATTTTTGAAATAATCGAACGCACCTGAGCGTCGTAAACTTCGCGCGGTCGACCTCGTAAAACCTAGGCGCGTCGAAGACAAAGTATCGGTCCTCATTTTTCTTCCAAATCACAAACTCCACGATGTTGTTTTCCGGCAAGTTAACCTTTGCGTCATGAACCAGATTCTAAAATTGTGCGTCCAATTTGTTTCGAATATTTTTTTGTCTACCTGAACATTCTCAGCGGACGGCTCCCATCGGCTATTAATTTCGTGGTAGGTCGATCGGCCCCACCACACTCGCCTAAAACGAGTGTATTCAATGAAGGATTGAAAATCGCTAATTAAGGAACCTCGTATACATCCGGATTTAGCATTGCCTCAAAAATACACACAGATAGAGTTAACTGCTCTTTAAACCCGAGATATGCCTTTTAAAAGTCGAAATTGTCAATTTTCGAGTTCGATTATTTTAATCTTTCCATTCGATTTGCAAAAAAAAAAATATCGCAAAAGCATAGAATCTTGACCGTTAAAATGAGCCCTCCAACTCAAAATTTGCGAAAACTGAAACAATTCAAATAAACTGCTGAGCTACTTAAAATAGATTCACGTTATAACCAAAAAAAAACGGCCTATGAAAAGTCTCGAGGACTCTAACACGCAAAAACCTTGAGTTTTGAAAGATCAGTAGCAAAATTCCATCAATCTGAACAGGACATAAACAACTTGAAAACAAAACTTGCAACTTGAAAACAGAACTCACTTGAACAGGTTGGCTTTTTCATAGTCAACTTCAGCGTAAACGTTGCCTGAGACTATGTAACGCTTCCATGACGACTGGGCGTGCACCAGATGTAGGGACGATACGGTGGCCACCAGTAGTGAGGATATCAAGACTAGCCGCATTTATTTGGTTATGGGGAGGTTGGGTTGGAAAAGGGAAGGTTCGTCCGAATGCCGCCCTTTATATATCGCCCCATTTAGCCGTAGGCGCCGATTTTTTTAAATACCGCATCTGCCGAAAAGAAGCAAGGGGGTCAACTTGAGCAATTATTTAATTCTCTACATTAAAGGGATTAATGCGTGGGTCCAAAATCGGTCACATCACAATCAATTTACATAAATTCTTCATGCCGAACGTGTCTTTAAAGGGACCTCGAAGTCTGGGCCACGTCTCTCAGCGTTGACTCCTGACAATTGGCCGGACAATTGGCCTGGTGGCGCGGCAGCGCGAGCCGCAAGTTACTCCTTTGCCCCTCTGCGGGCGTGAAGGTGCACTAATTTGGAAATTCTGAGCATTTCTGGAATCCGCGGCAAATGTAACCTTATTGGTTTGTTAATGGCCAAAACTGAGCCAGGTCGAGCGAGTCGAGTCGGAAATCGAAGACCGATCGTAGCGAGGAGATCGAGGAGATCGAAGAACGGAGATTGAGCAATGGAGCGCCCAGCAGGGCATTACGACATATAATTCATGCGAGACCGAAAGTTGATTTTCCACGAAAGAAAATGCGTTTTTTTTTGTCTGAAATATTTGGACTTTTTGCAAACGAACTAAACTTGTCGGTATTCTTTGTCGGCAGCTTTCGTTTTTCACAATTGGGTCAAATTCTCGAAGCTTCAAATGTTTACTTCTTGGCTCCTTTAAGGAAACGCTCGGCATCAAAAGGCCATGCAACCTTACCGCTTTCTCATCGTTTTGTCCCGTTTTGGGGGACACCCTCTCTCTGAACCATTTCAGGAAACCTTCAACCCCCAGCTTTTAATGAAAAAGCAAAAAGGGGTCGTCCCCTGGCCTTGTGCACGGCAAGCGAACACAAAACCAATGCGCCAACAGGTTCAGGACAGAACAACAACCCTGCCTGCTATAGCGTGGACCCATTTTATAAAATTGGGAGGTGAATTTTTCTTTAATGTAGAGGGGTAATTGACCAGCATGACCCTTGTGTTCTTCTGCAGGTGCGCTATTTACAAATTGTCGCCTGCGGCTAAATGGGACGATATATAAAGGTAGATTCTTTTCCGATCAGTCCTCCCAGCTGAAACTCCCCCTGACGAATGCGGCCAATCCTGATCATTTCACTGTTTGCGGCCACCATATCCAGCCATCGTCTATTCTATATCCATCGCGGATCGGAGCATTACATAGCCACCGAGAACGTGCCCACGCAAGGTTACATGAAGATCGACGATGAGAAAGCCCAACTCTTCAAGTAAGTTTTTTTTGTAGTTTAATGGCACTTTAATGCGAATTAGCAGCAAATTACCAAAATAAACGAGCCTCCTTTATCGCAGAATACTATCTAATATATTTTATATCATTCTTCACTCGCTTCTGATTGCTATGGATCCAAAATTTGAAAACATTTTTGCGAATTTCGACTTTTTGGTATTTCATAGATTTACGATCAAAATGTCATGAATTTTTCACATTTTTTTAAACAATTTTTTTAACAGCTTTTCATCCCAAGAACCGCCTAAAATGCTATTAAAGATCTATATTTATTAATAATGTACAGCATATACGCTTCTCAATGTCCGTAATTTTTAGATAAAATTTTGTTTCAGACGAGTGTGGCTATTCCGATCGACGGAACTCAAGGTAGATGACACATTGGAGGTCACCGCGGAGCACAAGCAGGTAGGGACAATTTTTGGGTTAAAATGGGGCTATGAGCCCCCGAGCTCGTTTCGGTTTTACTCAAATATTTTACGTTTTTTTTTGCAACGAAATCACTTTTCTGGTTCTTCTCGGCAATAATTTTCGTTTTATGAGGTTCAATCCGCGAACCTGCGAATTTTGACTTCCGAGCCCCTTTAAAGTTGGTCCCATTTTAGCAGCTTGCCCATGCCCCAGCCGTTCCGGACGAAATCACCATGGAGTTTGTGACTTGGAGGAAAAATGAGGACCGGTACTTTGTCTTCGACGCACCAAGGTTCTACGAGGTTGACCACGCAAATTTTACGCTGCTCAGGTGTGTTTGGTGGTTCGGACGGTACTTGGGTATTTGCGGGGTTAAACCAAACTTTTTCGGAGAGATCCAAGATTTTTTGCATAGATAGTGAATGTGTTTTACATTTTTTTGAACCATATAAAACTTTTTTAGCATTTCTAAGAAGTACCTTTAAAAATTCCCACTGAAAATTTAGGGTTTGGGTTGAACATCGTTTTTTTTTGTTTTCGAATTAAAATGACCAAAATGTAAATTTTCCTAAAATTTTCTCACCCCCCCCCCCGCCAGTATTCATGTACCATTCTGAGAATTCTGGTCTTGAACCTTAACCGCGGAAAGCATGGGTTTTCAGAAAAAATTACCGATTCAGCCGACATTCTGTCTTTGCAGGAACGCTGCGACAAATTACCTGGACCACCTGTTGGATGACGGATTGCTCACAGTTCATTGCGAGGTGGGCTAAAAAATCTAGATTGCAGCGACTTTTACCGGGCAAAATTGAGCACATTGGAATTTTTAGTACCAGCTCCCTTCTCTGAATCTCCAATTTTAGCGAACAACTGGCAAGCAGCCTAAAAGCTGGACACAGGACCCGGATACGATAGCCATGTGCGTGTTGTGTTTCGGCATCGGGATCCTGGCCGGCGTGGCGGTGATGATCAGTGGGGACCACGAGACCCGATCGGCCAAAAACAAGACCAAGCAGCAGAAATCGGCCTAACTTGAGCGCGACACTAACTTGAGAGAGTTTCTTCTTTTTCGAATCCTACTTTGAATAGATGTTGCTTTTGGATAGATTTTGGAAATAAACAAACCAATGATGGTATTTGATCAGGGTTGGTCACAATCAGGCCCGTAACGGAGGCGGAATTTCGGGGGTGCGGGCAAAAATTTTGGCGTCAATAACATGCAAAACAGAACAGGCAACAATTGAAAAATGGGTACCGTGGGAAAATGCCACAGAAAAGTCCCGCAGGCGAAAAATTTTATAGCCAATTGATGCACTAATGAAAAACCAGGAAAACCACGGAAAATTTTTGAAAAATAAGTTCTAGATTCTTCGAAGTAAAAACTGTCTTAAAAACAATAATAATTGCGCCGCAGGCTGAAAAATTTTTATAAAAAAATCATAAGGGTCCCCCTATGAACTTTTCGGACCTCAACAGTTTTCCGGGGGTGGGGGGGGCCTGGGCCCCCTCCCCCTCTTACGAGCCTGGTCACAATGATCGGTGTCCGCTTCCGTTCGCGTCCGTTCGCTTCCGGACCAGGATTGGTCATGATGATCGAAAGTCCGTCCGCGTCTGTCCGCGTCCGGACGCGGACGCAGCGGACACCGGAAGGTCCACGATGCAAAGTGCAGATAACCATGTTAATTCAAGAGTCTGCGGCTTAGGAAGGAAAAAAAAACACATAGGATAACGGGGGGGGCACTCAAACTTTTTATATGATAAAAGTATTTTTAAATAAGCTTTTTTCGGGCTGTAAAAAAAACTCTTAGTATATTTTTCGGTCCTCTATCGAATGGCATTTTCAAAATATCGAAAATATTCAAAACGCCGAAAATCCCCCCCCTTTATCCTTTGTGTTGCCATAGTTTTCAAAAATAGTTTTTAGGCTATAAAACTTTTATAATAAATTTTTTCGCGTTGTGAAAAAATCTCTTAGTATAATTTTTGATGTTCTATCGATTCGCGTTTTCAAAATATCGAAAATCTCAAAAATTTGGCTTTCCCCCGCCGTTATCCTATGTGCTGCCCATAGATTTTCCACAATTTTTGTTTATTCAATAAAAAATTTCCATTACATTATTTCGGGCTGAAATTAATTCTCTTAGGATATTTTTTGACGCTCTATCGAATGGCACTCGCAAAATCCCACAGTAATTGCAAATGTCATAATAATGAGTGCCCCGGTTATTTTATTCCCCCCGTTATCCTATGTGTACCGACATGCAGGGGCGTAGCTAGAAAAAAATTTCGGGGGGGGGCCCCGAAAAATTTTTCCAAAAAACTCAAAAAAATTACCGAAAAAACAGCGCCGCAGGCAAAAATTTTTGAAAAACAGGTTACATAGCTCTACAAATAGCCGTAAAAACGTGCAAAAATAGCGCCGCAGGCAGCAAAATTTTTGAGAAAAGAAAAATCATAAGGGTCCCCCCTTATGAAATTTTCGGCCCCGGCCGATTTCGGGGGGCCTGCCCCGGGGCCTGTATTACGCTACGTCCCTGCCGACATGATTTGCATTTCCTTCCCATGCCTCTATAATTATCAGCTTAGGACCAAAGTTCTGTCGCCGAGATTTTGGAAGGTCGGCTAAAATCGTAGATAGCTCCAATTTTGACATGCTATGTGTCATTTTGTAGTTCCCGGCCTGAACCCTTCCGGGAGGACGGTTCTAGGCCACCAAAATAAAGGAGAATTCAGTTGCATGCTCTCACTACTCATTACGAAAGATGTACGAACTTTGATGCGTTGGCGCCGGTATTCTAAGCGGGACGTTAAGGGTCGACCTGGACGACGTCAGAAATATGTACCTCTTACTCTCCCACTCGCCATATATTATCTTTTTCTCGAAGGATTTTCAATAATTGCTAAATTTTCTTGATAAGCAAAAATCAAGCTTTTTTGAGATACTGTATCTCGAGTCACGTCAAAAACCTATGGCCGAATGCCTATGATGGTCCTCCAAAGCGAAGGCGGCTTCACGATACCCTCGAACAACGCCAAGATTATAACAAAGACGTTGAAATCGCACCACTTGAGAGGCAATATAATATCACTTAATGCTTTAATATAACTTTAATATTATCGAAAACAGGTCCATAAATACAAAACTTTTAATAAAACACACCTGTTTAATATTCGTCGTCACCCTAGTTATAACCCAGACAAACCGCTGAAAATTTTTATTTTATGTGGAATGCTGTTATTTTTGAGTTGCACTGTTTTCTCTACTGCCCTTGCCGACAACACCTGGGATCCATGTAAAACTAAATGACCGAAAACCTGAATGCCGTTTCTAGATGAGCGCCAAGTCCTGTACCAGGGCCCATTCTTCGAGTTAAAGGGAGGATTCAACACTGGTGATGAGCTAGAGATATTTATTTTTACGAAATCGTCACTGTAAGGAGCAAATTTCTGATTTCCAAGTTAAGCGTGATAAGTTTTGAGCTGCGGATCAGTGAGAAGCCCTATACCGGCCTGGGATTCCCGACGCCGCTGCTTGCCCGGTTTGTCGGGGGCGAGGAGAAGCAGATTCATCTGAATTATCGCACTTCGACTGACGTAAGAAATCTATTAAACGATGGAGATGTTTAATATTATAACTTGTCGCTCATTCTAGACTGACTGGAATGGGGCGCGGATCAATCACTTGCGCGGTACGACTGGGACGAGGCGTGCGAGTGTTATGCGGGAAGATCTCGATCTTGTAAGGGGGTTTTACCGGAACCAAAAGCATTCTGGCGATATATATAATTGGAATACGCCCTAATGAAAGGGAGATTAGTGGTGCGTATTTTTCACGATTTAGCAAGAGCTCAAACGGAAAGTTCCGCGTCGGCTCCACCTTCCAGAACCGTGACTTCGACTGGCCGTCGGTGCATGAGGAGATGACGAGCACCTTCTTGGCCGTGATTATATTTTTTTGAGGAATTCAAAGCGATTTTTAGTTTACCCAACCTTCGATCGTCGCCGTGACCCATCATCGACCAAGGGTATGAAAATCGTAAAGCTACGATGAGAGGCAAAGTTTTTACTCCAATCTTGATCCAATTAAAATTCGATCCTGATTCAGATATAATCTCACTATAGTATAGAGCGTCAAAAATTTAAGCCATTGGACAAAATCATTTTCAAATTTCTTCTTCTTAGAAAAATCCGGAATGCTTGATGATGACTCGCGGGTACCATACACCCCGACCAACCCTGAATACCTACTAGGAAAAATCAAACAATGGGAACGTCGAAGGGCCTTAAAAGTAAGTTAGGATCGATGCACGTTAAAAGCGTGCATGATTCTGATATTCAAAAACCCATGCCGTCAATTGCAGTCGACTTCTTCCCACATTTTCCAATCCATGATCTAATGCATTTCAACGACGGTGACGATGACCGTGGTCCCGTCACGAATAGCACTATTTTTATCTGCCTCTGGAACATAACGCCTCTTAATGGGGAGAGGTACTGGGATACCTATTTCAAAGATGTAAGGAAGTTCACTTTTAGCTTCTGGATCGTCAACAACAAATACCCATTTGACCAGAGGCTGGATCGAGAGTTATCGATTGCTTTCGAGTTTGACCTCAAAAAGCAAACAGCAACCATGGGTTTCAGGCATAAGGTAATTTAGAACTGTGACCAGGGTTGAAAAGCCGCTTCGCGCCTTTTCAACCCTGGCCCCCGTCTAGCGTCATAATATGCTTCATTTTACATAACTCTCGCGAATTCCGATGACAAAAAATGAAAATTCTCTCCCTCCGCCCATTATATAGACTCGCGCCATTTCCGGCATATGCTAATTGATTCCTAACAAAGTGGGTGCTCCATTTTCTAACAAAAACTTAATTTTAGCGTCGAAAATAGCATAATTTGCAAAATCTGATGTGTGTGCAGTCATCTCAGCGCCATTACGCACCTAATGACGTACCATACGTTGCTTAAAACCCTTTCCCTCTCGAGATATCCTCCGGACACCCTGACGGAAGTTGCATGCAAAGTGGCACACACACACACAAACACACAGACACTATTTTTTATATATAGTAGGACCAGTGAAAAAGCCCGCTTCGCGGCCCTTTTCCACTGGACCCCGTCCAGGAACCATGAATCTGAATACCTTCTTTTTTTTTGCCTGCGGCGCAAGAACCTGTATCAAGGAGCCATTCTTTGGCGCCAGAGCCTTGGCCAAGGATCTTTTCTTTGGCCTGCGGCGCTAGAGCGAGAGCCAGGCCTAAACCTCGCGTTAGAACCTTTTTGCCTGCGGCGCTAGTTACTGGTTTTTCTCCAAGATTTGGCCTGCGGCGCAAGAGCCAAGATCAAGGACCCATCATTGGCCTGCGGCGCGAGAGCCTGGACCAAGGACCTGTTCTTTGGCCTGCGGCGCTAGAGCGAGGGTCAGGCCTAAACCTCGTATACCGAGAGCCTAGAAATGTCAAGTTGCTGAACTACCAAAAAGCAAAAATGCAATTCTCCCAGGAACCGAACTCACGACCATGCGCGTGGTAGACCGGGCGCAAATCCACTACACCATGGGCCAGATGGGAAGAGGCGGCGTGAAAGCCCTCTTCTGTTTCGGGGAATGCGGGCGGGGGAAGGCAAAGAAAGGGCGACCCAATGATCCCGGAGTGAGGCCAACTCGTCCCATTACAAAATTCGATTTTTGAGTTTGAATATGCGGGAAATTTGTAAAGATTATTAGGATGCGCGTGATGCCCAATATCGAATACATAAGTTGTCCAAATTCCAGGCCGAAATTCCATCTGGGTCTCGAGTTATGGCCCGGACACCACGGCACTTCGGTCATTTTGTTAAGGAATTTTTAGAAAAAATGCTCATAAAAACTTTATTTTACAAAATCTGGCAAAACGCAAAATTATATATCGGGAGAATTCTATTTCCAATCCGCCCTCCAAAAATTAAAGCTGAATTCCATTTGGATCGCCAGATATCCTCTGTACAAACCTTTTTTCGACCAAAATGTTAAGGGTTTTTCACTATTTTGCTTGTAAGATCGTTAAATGAAGGAATTTCGAAAAACCAAAAAATGCTTATAAAGAAGATGTGCTTCTCCACCTCCATGCCAAAAATCAGCCGGGAATTCGGCCTGACAGCCGAGAAATCGTCTGCACAGAAAACAGACATACTTTTCTCGCTTATAGGATAGGATGTTGTGTCGGAAAACTCAAGTTGGTCTGGTTTGATCAAATTATAACATTCAGTACCTCAACTACGCGCTGAACACAAAACGCTTCCCGCCATCCAAAAATGGGAAATACGGGACGTGCTTCCAGTTTGGGATGAGGAGGTGGGAATTTTTTGAGGATCTTCTGGCAATTGGGCTTCAGATTTGGCGTTGGAGAAATCATCTGGATGGCCGATGGGATATTTGGGAAGGTAAGGAGTTGCGAGAACTAGCTTTAGAATGGTAATTTATTGGCAAAGTGGTGGCTGAGGTCTTTTCCGATTAGCTAGCGCTTGTTGAGACCTACGCCAGTTATAGGTTTTCCAACTTCGTGCCTAGTCAGCTATACAAACCTAAAATTACATTGAAGACACCTAGAATGTAATTTTTTCCTTTAGAAAGCCATATCCCAGGGCCGTGTCAGATTGAAGGCTGCCTGGCTGTCGGTATGCTAATTTCTTCAAGAAAATCAAATGACTTTTTAAGTTCCTGGGTCAATTTGGGCTCGGAAAGACATACGTTGGCATATCCTACAAAGTGGATGGCAAACGAAAGTATTGGTATACACCGAGTGTCCCGGTTGAGCACCAGTAAGTCTTTGCCATATTTATTTTAATGTCGATACATATTTTTGACGCCGGCTTGAGTTAATTATACTATTTCCAGGGTTCTGCTGAAAAAAGCGTCGGAGGAGATGGACAAACGAGGAACACCTGAAAAATGGAGGCGCCTAAAACGCGTCCGCTACGAGACGGATCGGGAGGAAAAAGATGATAATGATGATAATTTTGAGATTATAACGCTCGATCGGCAATAAATCAGTTATTATTAGATCGATAACATAAATAATTGTAGAATAAATTTGTGGGATAAAAATAACGTTTTCAATAAAGTCCCTGGTTGTATAATATGCGGTCGGCAGCATAAAACACGTAGATAGAATGCGAAACATCATTTTTCCCACCCAAAATGCTACTCTTCTGCCTCTGCGTCCTTTTCCTAAATGTGCTCAGCCGGCAACTATTACGACAAATGTAAATTTATTACACGCGACAATCGCAAAAATGCCTCATCAAATTTCGAATTTCAAGATTTTTAGTTTTTCGTTTCTTTTTCATTCAAAATCCGTACCAGAAAATTCGAAAACCCGAATTTAAAAATCTCGAATTTTCAGAATCTAAAACTTTTAGGGTCTTTAAATTTCCCTAGTCTGAATCTACACTGAATTTTCACGTCTAGATTCCGCATGAAGCATATGAAAGTTTCGAGAATATGAAAATTCGCTATTTTCATTTTCGATGGCCTGATTCTCGGGATTTTAATTTTCGAGGTTTTCGCCTTTTAGATTTTGATTTGTGAGATTCTTCACAATCAAAGCAGACGTATGCTAAGAACTAATTTTTAGACAGGAAGCAGCCATTGGGTCCAGGGCCTTTCTTTGAGTTGGCCGGCGGATTCAACAGAGGGGAGAAGCTGGAGATCTACTTCTTTACAAAGCTGCCCGGGTAGAAAGATCCAGCAAAACGCTAGAAACATAAAATTGGTCAGGCTCGAATTACAGTTGGCCGAGGAGCCGTCGAAGACATATGGGTTTCCGGTACCGCTTGCGCTGCTGGTGATGCCTGATGATCCCCCCGTTGATAAAAATTACTCATCGAAAGGCAGACCAGGTACGGTGGATGCTGACTGGCTCGATTGGCTAGCGTAATGTCGAAGATGACGAAATTCATATTGCCGAAATTACAGGAATTCGAAATTTCGTTATGTCAAAAATCAAAATATCGAAATCTCATGATTTCGAAATTTAGAATACCGATTTTTTTGCATAGGAGTCAGTGTGTTTTCGAGTATATGCGTTTATGCACAGCATTCCGAATCTCGACACTATGCAATTTCGACATGATTAATTTTTTACATTATGAAATTTCGACAGTACGAAATTTCGGCATTATGAATTTCGAAATTCTGGTTTTCCAAAATTTGAAAGTGACCCGAATCTATCAGTTTTCCATAAACCAAAACCGCATTTGCAAAATTTTAATGCGGTTTCTCCTTTTTCTCACTGTACCTGTAATTCTTGGGAAACCGGCAAATCAGACGCATTCGCAAGTATTGAAATTTAGAAGTGCGAAGACCAGACGTATTACTCTGTTCTTGGCTAAAACTACTGAAATTTTGACCAAAAAACCCATTCAGACAGCGTGGAATGAGGTGAAAAAGCGTCCCCTCGACTATTTTGGGTGGGACAACACCATTGTGGGTGTTACGAGGGCATGATCACGATACTGTAAGTCCGGGCGCCCGGAGCCTAAGCTACATCAAACACCTGCAACACAACGTTAAAAATCGCGGAAAACGAAACGAAAAAGGATCTGTGGAAAAATGTTCAGACGCAGTTATGTCCCCATCGCGCCCTAAACGCGCACCACCTGGCTCAATTTGTCCACAACCTTGCAAAGCCAAACTCTCTTAAAAATAGAAGCTCTTGCTCCTTTCCCCGTCAAGCTAGATTCGGTTCAGACGGGTTTTTACAAAATATCGAAAATCAAAATAGCTAAATTGATAATGTGGTATTTTCAGAATGTCGAAATTTTATAATGTCGAAATGCAGAAGGTCGAGATTTACATAAGCCAATTTTTGTGGAAGCCCCCATACTATGCAAAATTTCGATTTTACGAAATTTCGAGCCTATGAAATTTCGACATTATGAATTTCCTGAGATTTAGAACTCGACATTATCATAGACAATCGGTTTATACGGACGGATGTCACAACATCATTATAACCGACGTGGCTAAAATTTTTAGGCGCACTTCTACCGGCGGCTACGAGATCTCATTCAATACCCATAAAGGCCCCTTTCACTACACATCGACGGAAGAGAATATGATTGCAACCTACCTGGTGGTGAGGGATTCACGCATTAAAAAAAAAGATATTTAGGTCCGCGACCCGGCCATTGTTGGGGTGAAGCACCATCGCGCCGGGGTAAGCTGTTACAGCATTTTCCAAACGGCGCCAAGTTATTAGCAGTCGTGTCATTCGGAATTTTAAGGATTTTTAGAAGCCTAATTTCGATGGAACCATTGTAAGTCGTAAAATTTCCGCTGAGATTAGATCATGATCGAAAAATCTTCTTGAGCATGTGTGGAAAAAAACCGATGGAAACTTTGTAGAGAGCTAATTATTAGCATACATAAACGACATTCCGCGAAAAGCAATTTCGGCCCACAGAGTCGGCTAACTTTTAAGAGAATGCAATTCAAATCCGCTATTTAAAGAAACAGCCGATTTCTATGATGTTGACCCGCGGCAAGGACACGCCACGCCCGCCTGTAGAACATGTTCTGAAGAGAATCCGCGACTGGGAAAGCGTCAAGGCACAGCCATTTAAAGGTAGATTTTCTTTGTTTATGATAGAGTGGCGCTTAATCAAATCAGATTTGAATAAGATTCAAATTATTCAAATCAAGCCGATTTGACTTGAATTGGAGCCGAGCAAATCAAATCAAATCTATTTGATTTGAGCTCACAGTTCAAATCAAATCCAGCCGATTTGAATAATTTGAATAAGACCTCATAGAAATGGCTTATTTTCAGAATGTCGAAATTCATAATGTCGAAACTCATAATGTCGAAATTCATAATGTCGAAATTTCATAATGTCGAAATTTCATAATGTCGAAATTTCATAATGTCGAAATTTCATAATGTCGAAATTTCACAATGTATAGGCTAGCGCTGCTTCCGACATATGCTAATGATTCCTAATAAAAAAGGCTTCAATTTTTAAACAAAACTTCAATGTAGTCTCAAAAATAGGTGATTTTAACAATCCTAATAGGTAGGCAGTCAGCATCAGACCATTACGCACCCGATGACGTATCAAACATACCCCTAACTATTCCCCTTCTTGAGATACTGATAAAACATGCATGCAAATTGGCACGGCCGCACACAAACACAGATCCTATTTTTTAATCTGGAAGGTTGCTTTGAATTTCAGTAAACTTCAATCCGCATTTTCCTATTTACGAGGTGATGCATTTTTTCGATAACGACGATGATCGTGGGCCAGTTGAAAACAAAACAATCCACATTTGTATTTGGGATATGACGCCGCTAGATGGGGAAAGGTAAAAAGTGTTTGCGCATGTGTACGTTTGAAAACAGTTTTCCGTGCCGTTGTTCCGCACCTAGAGCCTCACGGACGCTGTTTATGGATTCGGATATTAGGCGTAAAATGGGCCGGCACCTTCATCCGGAAACTAAAATTTGCACTAATCGCTGATTTTGAACTTTTTACAGCTTTTTGGATCGCTAACACCAACTACCCGTTCATAGAGAGGAACGATCGTGACTTGTCTCTTGCTTTCGAGATCGACCTTAAGCGGAGGACCGCCACTTTGGGATTTCGCCACCAGGTACGAGACGAGAGAAAGAGAGAGAGAGAGAGTGAGAGAGAGAGAGAGAGAGAGAGAAAGAGAGAAAGAGTGAGAAAGAGCGACATGTTTGTTCTTCCCCAATATTGTTGCATTCAGAGCATTGACCATCCCATGAACACACAGCGCTTGAGCATGCCCGGTCCGGGGAATGAGCATTTGTGCTTTAGATTTGGGACGAGAAGGTCGAGAAAATTCGGGTAAAATTCTAATTTTCGTTTAGAGCCAACAACGGGATAGTATCCTTCTGGACCGATGGGATAGGCAACGTATGTGATTTTGGTGTTTATTTTTATTTTTTAGCAAAATTGACGATTTTCGTTTTGCAGGCGCCAGTCGGCCAGAAGCCAGATGGCATCCGGCTAAAAGCCGCATGGCTGTCGGTATGCTAATTTTTGGATCACAACCTCTATCTAGTTTACCGGAAAATTTGGGCCCGACCAAACAAAGGTCGCCATCTCCTGGAAAACACCGGGCGGCTTCTTGAAAGTGAGCTTAAAAACGGCAATATACGAGGTTAAATTTAAAAACAATACTGCTTCTAGAGTCCCGAGAGGAAATATTGGAAAACCCCAAACTGTCGGCAGGAACATATGTAATTTTTCGATTAAATGGGCGCTTCTTATAGTTTATGACTGGCGTTTTCGATTGAAAAAATACCTCTAGGAAACGGTTTTATGCAGCGGTGGAGGAATATGATAAATTGGAACGAGAAGGAGCCTTGAAGCGGCGTTTACGGTACCAGACGGATGGCAATCAAACCGCACATGACGATCTTGAAGTTGTTATGCTAAACCATAAATGAATGGTGGAACGCAGCGTTTAATAAAATTACCAGTTACTAGTACGAGTCATTACAAGTTTTTACCGGCATCCGCTTAGCGACCCATTGCTTCAAATTTCGAAACGAATTCCGAAAAGTGTAAGCCATTAAAAAAATCCTACCCAAGCACGATTAGATAAAGAAAGAAAACTGCAAAGAAAAAGGTGCCAATGCCTCTTTTAATAAATGACGAATCGCTCTTGATATTCAGGACGTAGCCCCACTATAAAGCGAAGCCCATTGCAGAAAGACCACTTTGTAAAACAATGCTGCTATCCCTCTACAGTATTTTTATCGGCGTGTCTGCCCGGAATACCGTAGATAAATGTAAATTTTACCCTAAAAAGCTATCGGTTTTCAGATGAGGGCCGGAACTTCCATGAGGGACCATTCTTTGAGTTGCCGGGAGGGTTCAATGTTGGAGATGAACTCGAAATATTCTTCTTCACTAAAGCCAACGCGTAAGGTTTTTCTTATGTTTAGGTATGGGTTTAGGCTTAGGTTTAGGATGAGGCTTAGGCTTAGGGTTTAGCTTTTAAGCCAAGGCTTAGGCTTGGTTTGGGCTTGGGCTTGGCCAGGGAAGTGCACGACCGGCCCACGAGAAATCGACACGAGTCATAGTGGATCTGATAGAATCGGACACGGGGATTTCGAATCTGTAATCAGAATTTGCTAAATAAAACGGAGAAAAAAGTTATGAAGCTTCAATGTTGGCAAAATCGCCCAAAATAGGACTTTTATGGGCCTGTATAGGCCCAGGGAATGGAAATTTGCCACAACCCATTAGTGCATCTTGTTCAGCAGAAAAGCGCTTGAATGAGCTATTTACTTCAAGTTTACGATGATTTCACAGAAATCTTTCCATGAACTTGACAGCCCATACCCTTGCCCGTGAATCCAAAAAAACTTTTGTCAGTGAATTGTTTGCAAATGCTACGTATTACAGCTCATTCGAAAGCGCTTTTTCTGCTGAACAAGCTGCACTAATTCTTTTCTCCTCAATTCCGTTCCACCGGTTTTTACGGGCCCTTAAAGGTACGGTTTTTGGCGATTTGGCCAACTTTGAAGCTTGATAACTTTTTTCTCCGTTTTATTTAGCAAATTCTGATTACAGATTTGGAATCCCCGTATCCGATTCTATCAGATCCACTATGTCTCGTGTCGATTTCTCGTGGGCCGGTCGTGCACTTCCCTTGTTAGGCTAGAGCGGGTTCATGATTACTTTCTAATACTTTCAAAACTTTAGAATTTAGCTTACGAAAGATTCCAAGAGTGTTTTACAGGTTCGAAGTACGCCTCACCGAACAACCGTATATAGGCAAAGGAATTCCTATACCTTTGATAGTGGTATTAGCCACGGGGAATAAGCCAAAGATGACGCTAACGCACAGCAAATCGACCGATGTACGGTAGGGCCGAAAATCGATTAGAAATTGTACTGTAAAAATTATATGGCCGATTTAGACGTTCGAGCCGGAACCCAAGCGCTACAGCTTCCGCCCCTTCTTTTGGGATAAGACCGTGCGGCTGCCATGCCGGGAAAATTAAGATACAGTAATATTTTTCGACGGACTGCGCGCCTTACTTTCCGAGACCACATAGCTCCTGACACTACTTTAGCAAGACCGTGGGCGACGCGTTTTTGGTAAGCGCGAATTACCATAATCCTGATATCATGTACCCCGTACCTGCTGAAGCCATGACAAGCACGTTTTTGGTGGTGGGTTTAGAGAAAATCCCATTGACCGAGATTTAGACTTTACAAGCGTCTATTGTAGCCGTCAAGCACCATCACGCCTCGGTTTGTTAGCCTTCTGCTTTGCTTCAATTCTTGAAGGGAAACGTCGAAAGCCTGATGATGACCCGCGGGTACGATACACCCCGGCCATCCATCGACTACATCGCCGACATCATTAGGAGAGGAGAGCGCGAGCCGCGTTTCGTGAGTAATTCGGCTTCTAAGATTTCGATACCTTACCGATTGTTAGTGCAATTTTACGAGCACTTTTCGCTGCACGAAGTGATGCATTTTTACAACGGTGACGACGACCGAGGGGCGGTGGTAAATAAGACGATCAGCGTTTGTCTTTGGGATATTACACCGCTTGATGGGGAAAGGCAAGTTTAGGTGTTCTTAGCTTAGGCCTAGGCTTAGGCTTAAGCTCGGCTAAAAGCAAGAAACCGACAACTTGGTTTTTCAGCAGCTTCTGGATCGCCAATCACAACTATCCGTTCGAAGAAAAAATGGATCGGGACCTGTCGCTAGCCTTCGAGTTCGACTTCAAAGCCCAAACGGCAACGATGGGTTACCGATATCATGTAAGTACCATAGAACCTTGATTTTCATCGGGAGGATGGAAGAGAATGAAGAATACCTCGATCCCACCGTCTTCAGAGCATCGACTGCCCGATGAGCACCAGCCGTTTTTTCCCGCTGCCCAAGACTGGGAAGTACCACGCATGCTTTAAGTTTGGCACCAGAACGTTGGTGTTTTGATTGAAAAACGGAATATTAAGCGGAAAAGGGGTTTTGACGACTATAAAAAGACTACAAAGTCAAGTCGACACCTAGGGGGTATAAAACGTTTATTCTTGCGCTTTCCAGCCCCTTTAAGACGCGAATTCAGTGTTGGCCCCGGCAACAACTACTGGACCATCGATCAAACGTGGCGAAGGGTATGTTGTAGACCTTTTATGCTTTCATTGAGCCCATACGATTTCGTCTAGGATTTTCCGGTCTTTTTTCAGAAGCGCATCAATCAAAACCAGGTTAAGCTGAAAGCTGACTGGCTCTCGGTGGGAAAATGCAACGACAACCCAACAATAAAAAATTTATTTAGTTCAAAGGCAAATTCGGGGTTGGCGAAACCAAAGTTGGTATTGCATGGAATGTTCCGGGCGGTGCTCAGGTCAGACCCTCGATTTTTTCCACGCGGGTTTCAGGGGCGCGAAAGACGTTGCTGGTTCTCGGAAAACACGCCGCTTGCCGTGCAGTGAGTTTTGAGATCCACTTAAAATTCGGCTTATGCTCTGTAACGAGCGATCAAGTAAATGTAAATTGTCTAGAATCAAGTTCCAAAGCGACCTGGACAAGATGGAGCAAGAGGAAAAAGATCCGAATCGCCGCCGTTTGCGATATGAGACCGATCGCGAGCAAGCAGATGATGAGCATCTTCAAATTTTTACGCTCGATCAGCAATAGTAATCCTGTTAAACCCAAGAAGCCAATAAATACGATTTTACCAGAGCTATCAACGACAAGCCCACAGAAAATAATATAAAAACCCGGACGCTGAACGTTGAATATGTATTTCTGGCATAAAATCGGGGACAAAATTGGTATGCTCAATATTTTGCGCCATGCTCCTCATCCTATACGGCCTTTTCTTATGCGCATTTGCCGGGAATACGGTGGATAAATGTGAATTTGTCTAATAAATTTTGAAAAAAACTTTTATGCCAGATGAGCACCGACACTTCTACGATGGCCCCTTTTTCGAGCTTACAGCCGGTTTCTCGAAGGGTGACGAGCTCGAGATCTTCTATTTTTCGAGATATAACAGGTATGGAAGCGTTTCACGAAACAAATCGGGCGATAGATTTGAGGTTCAGCTTGCCGAGCAGCCGTATTCAGACACCGGGTTTCCGGTATCACTAATGGTTACGGTTGCCTCCGGCGAAGGCCTAATGGTCACTCATCGGAATTCGCACGCGGTATGTTAGCAATTAGTTGTTTTTAGGAGTTAGCGTCGTCGCCTAAATTTCTATGACGTCGGCGTACGGTTTAGAACCACTATGAGGTTGGAAAAACCATAGCGCTGCCAGGTAGCGACTTTGACCCGGGGTGCCGTTGCAGCGCCGGAAAAGTGTCCATATAGTGAGTTTCTTTGCCATTTAGGGGCCAGTCACCTTTACCAAATGATTTGCCATGGTAATGTGGAAATTGCATAATGCCGACAGTTACAGAAGCTATTTTTCCCGGGAAAACCCTCGAATCCTGTGTAAAAAATCGACATGAAATTTTGACATTATGAAATTTCGAAATTATGGTTTGTCGACATTATGAAAGGAACCCTTACGAAATACCAAGAGCATCACCCGTTTTAGCAAAAAGACCAATGGCAGCTTCGTCGTTAATTACATGCGAGACGGGCCCAGGGTTTCCTATCCGGCGTTTGGGGAGAAACTGACGAAAACTTTTTTAGTTGTGAGTATCTTTGGAAATGTATAAACGGCTGTTTTGAAAATGCAGGTGAACGACCCAGCGATAGTCGCCGTGGAACACTACAGACCGAAGGTACGTTCTTACGTAATCGAGGGGGAAGCCGTGAGTCGTTCCAATGCCGATGAAGCCTCATCCCATTGGGAAAAAGCCCACCGGTTACGCTATGTAAAAAAACAGGGGAGGAGCGCCTCACAACGATTTTTCGGTCAGGAAACCTGGTAATGCGAGGAATTGGCGCCTCGTGGCCGCGCGGCGAGAAGGTCGGCAAAAAATCGGGGATCTCGGACAGAGCGCGACTCCACCAGAATACCCATAACAACCTGCCGTAAACAGACCATTACTCGGCGTGCTGATCACTTTTAACCTAATCTTTTCTCAGGGCCGCGTCGCAAACATAATGATGACGCGAGGACGTGAAACTCCGCGCCCATCTCTCGAACACCTAATGACAATAATCAAGCAGCGGGATACGAGACACCATTTCAAGAGTTGGTTGTTGTACAGGTTTCCCCAAAATAATCGACCCCATCTAGCGGACCGCAGTTGTGTAGGATCTTTACGATTTAGTGATCTAACGAAAGTTCTCGGAAAGGCGAGAAACCAGGCGCTTTTCGTTTTTAAAAATAGACGTTTCGATTCATTTATTTTTATTTAGGACCATAATCTAGGAAAATTTTATTTGAAGAAATTTTAGGCAAGATCCGTACGTAAATTGCTTGCTCAAGCTAACAGGGCCATGATGATTTTACGCTTCTTTAAAAAATTGTTTACTATCGAGGGCCGGCTAAAAAAATTTGTAAAACAAAATAAACTCTTGTTTTCTTGCCTTTTCGAGGGCTTTCAAATGGTGTAAAAATCATTCAGACCCGGCCTTTCTCCGGGCCGCTAGAGTGGGGTCGATTTTTTTTGCACCCCCTGTATTCCAGGAAGGCACCTTGTACCGTTTAGTGAAATTTTTCCCGCATTTTCCCATCCACGAAGTGATGCATTTCAAGGATAACGACGATGGGAGGGGGAAAGGTTGTAAATAACACAATTTACATCTGCGTCTGGGATATCACACCGGTGGATCGGCAGAAGTGGGAATAATAGCCTTCAACTCTTAACGGCGAACGTTCGTTCCGCCGCGTTTCCGTTTCGCCGAGTTATGTTAATTTTAGCTTCTGGATCGTCAACAATAACTATCCGTTCGATGAAAAGATGGACCGGGAACTGTCGCTGGCTATTGAGATTGATCTCCGGAAGGAGACGGCGACATTGGGGTTCCGCTACAGGGTAATGACGCAGAGAGATGAGAATTCGAGGCATTCTTTGAGCGTTTTATTGTGCTATTTTATCATGTTCTTTTGAGTAATTTTTGCTTACAAAGAGCGGTTTTTAGGTGGTCTTCGAATTTTACTATGTGTCATGCCTTATCCTATTGAGCTTCAAATTCTGAACAAATCCCATCTTTTAAAAATTGCTGTACGACAACGGTCTTTGAGAATAAGTATCTCAAAGTTTTGAGAGAAAAGAATCTCAAAGATTTTGTTAAGCGAGGGATCAAAAATTGTCAAAATTGGCCCTTTCGGAGAAAATTTTCTCGAAAACCGTAGGGTTCCGCAGTTTTTAAAAGATGGGATCGGTTCCGTTTTTCGCTCCAATTTTCTCTGATTTTGCATCTTTTTTTTCCATCGGCGTCGGGGTTTTTTTCGTGGAAGATTAGCTTAGATTTAGAAAAATGCCGGCATTGCGAATTGCGAGATTGTGAAAAGTCTGCATTATGAATTTCGACATTAGGATGTTCGTCACAACCCGTTCTATAGAGTGTCGACTACCCGTTCATCACAAAACGGCTTCCGAAGCCGGTCAATGGGAAGCACACGCTGTGCTTTAATTTGGGGATCAGAACGTTTGTGTTTTTTCACCGTGGTGTCGCACACCAACACCAATTCTAGAGATAAGACGGGAGGTACTTACTTCATCGCCGATGGTATTTTCACGAGCCGAGTGGGCCAATCGGATTCACTTTGTGAATTTAGCTATTTTAGATCCGAGTATCTGAGGGTCTTGTCGATGCAAAGGCCGGGTTTCTGTCGGTAACGATTTAGTTTTGATAAAAATCCTGTCGGCCCTAGTTCAAAGGCAAATTTGGGCCCAATTATACAAAGGCTGGGATCGCCTACAGAATGGTAAGAGGGTGATTAGCTTGAAAGCCGACGGGGTTTAGAATGGAGAAAGAATATTTTGGTTTGCGGACGGCACGCCGATCGGGTATCAGTAAGTGTTTATGTCTCTATTGCTATCGTTTTCTCTCTCGCTCGCTCTCTCTCTCTTCGCTAGACGTAACTCTTTTCAGGTCAAGCTTCCACTCCCAAGTCGAAAAGATGGATCTAAAGGAAGAACAGAACCGGCAACAACACCGACATCTTCGCTACGAGAACGACAGGGAACCAGAAGATGATGACATTTTAGACATTGTTCCATTGAATAGCATCAAATATCCATAAAGCTCGTTCGTGTGCGCCATTGAAACCCGCCCCACATATCAAAATCGCAACCGCAGGCGATCAGCATTTTTTAATAAAACGGCTGTCGCGGTGATGATCGAATATGCATTTCAAATAACACAAAATGATCCGAAAAAATAGTCTTATTCCGACGCTATGCTGTTTCCCCTCTACATCTTTGTTCCTCTCGTGTCTTCTGGGAACACCTGGGATCGGTGTAAAACTAAATTTGGCAAAAATATTTTAATAAGTCCAGATCAGAATCGCCCGTTCTTCGAAGGACCATTTTTCAAATTGCTCGGTGGATTGAACACGGGAGACGAGCTTGAAATCTTCTTTTTTACCAATGCTCCGAAGTAAGCTGTCGTTCTTGCTCAGCTGGCTGTAAAAAACCCATAATCCCGCAAAATCCTCTACAGATTTGAGCTTCGGATTGCCGAGGAGCCGTACGCGGATGGAAAATGTCCTGTCCACTTGTTGGTGACGATACCCGTTGGTGAGAGGCCAAAAATGCGGCTGAGCCATCGGAATGCACACGATGTATGGTAATAAACGAGTTATTAACGTTCAACAAGTTATCTAGTCTCGCTATCTAATTTAATAATATTAATTTAGACATTCTGGGCGAAGGGTATCGTCAAACAGATTCCAAGTTTTTCTGCTGAACGGGCTTGTCCTTGCTATGCGGGCAAAGTCTCGATTTTGTAAGTTTTTGTTGCACTATTGCGTATAAAACGGTTAAATTTTATGCTTTAAACTATAAAAAAACAGAAACAGTACCCAACCACAGAAACCATTAATTACAGCAAAATGATGAACGGGCGATTCCAAGTAAAGTCTGTTCTTTTTGAAGGCCAAGTCATTTACCCGGCACATCAGGACCTCCTTTCGAGCACGTACTTGGTGGTAAGTAAGCTTAGAACGGCAAGGTCGGCTGTTTAGATCACATACGCATCGATCGTGGCTGTAAAGCACCATCAAGCATTTGTAAGTATCTCCTCGAAAACCTTAACTTCTAAAGGGCCTTGCCGATAATCTGATGATGAGTCGCGGCTGGAACACGCCAATGCCTCCTGAAGGATATTTGATAGGGAAAATCAAGCAGTGGGATCGTAGACAGTCTTTTAAAAGTAATGATCATCTTAGGTTTTATTTACCTTAACCAGCAAGACTTATTATAATGTGCTTTTAGTAAATTTTTTCCCAAACTTTCCTCTGCATCGAGTGATGCAATTCAACCACAACAACGACCGTACCCACCAGACGCTAGCAATTTGTCTTTGGGATATAACACCGCTTGACGGGGAAAGGTATCGATTTCAAAATTTTGGCTTACCGACACATATTATGTTAATTAGCTTCTGGATCGTCAATAACAACTATCTATTCGACGAGAAACTGGATCGTGAATTATCGATAACTTTCGAGATTGATCTCAAGGAAAATACAGCGGCTATGGGTTTCCGTCACAGGGTAAATGCCATTTTTGAGATCCTCTAAATTTTGTTTAACAAAACTCTTGTCCTACCCTGATTTCGAATTTCAATCGGTTCCCCGACACTCAATTCCCCGACACTCGGTTCCCCGACACTCGGTTCCCCGACAATCGGTTCCCCGACAAATCAGTTCCCCGACAATCGGTTCCCCGACAAATCAGTTCCCCGACAATCGGTTCCCCGACAATCAGTTCCCGACAATTGGGGAATGATACCACCATTATAATTACGTTAAAATAGCACCTTATAATTGTCGGGGAACTGATTTGTCGGGGAACTGAGTGTCGGGGAACCGATTGTCGGGGAACTGATTGTCGGGGAACTGAACTGATACCCTGATTTCCTTAGAGCCTTGACTATCCATTTATCACCAAACGACTGCCCGACCCGAAAAATGGAAAGCATGAGCTGTGCTTTAATTTTGGTGCTGGAAGGTCTGAATTTTTGGGAAGTACATCCATAACGTATATTTAAGAGATGACCTGGGGGCAACCTACTTCATGGCCGATGGGATATTTGGCCAGGTAAGCTAATTTGTATTTTTAAGCTATTCCGATGATTTTTTAGAAAGCGGTTCTACGAGCAGCACGTCCAGGCGAAGGCCGCCTGGCTGTCGGTATTAATTTTTTGAACTAATAATGACGGTGTTTAAATAGTTTAGAGGAAAATTTGGGCGCGATGGAACTAAAGTCGGCGTCTCTTGGAAAAACCCTGGTGTAAAGTTACATTCATCGCGAACTAACTTTTTCTTAAGAACTCGGAAAGAATGTTCTGGTTTACTGATAATACTGCGATATTGTATCAGTAGGTTCTTCTCTCGGTCTTTCTCTCTCTCTCTCTCTCTCTCTCTCTCTCTCTCACTCACTCTTTCTCTCTCTTTCTCTATCCTCTCTCTTTCAAAAACCCTTGTTGCAGATCAAAGTTTCATTCCTACGTTGAAAAGTTGGATCAACGTCAGGAAGGAAGACGACGTCTTCGCTATCAGACTGATAAAAGCCAGGAAGACGATGACAATTTAGAAATTATCACTTTGAATCAATGATAAAAAAAATCGTTAAATTGCTATAATGAATATGGATAAGGCCACAAGTTGTGCTTCTTATTTCGAAATCCAAAACCACATTCAAATCCGGGGATAATAAAATACAATAAAAACCGTGCTCATCTTAAATTCAGGTCCCGCCGCCGGAATATAACTTAAAAAGGTTCCTGAGAGCCCCCATCTTTCAAGTTATGCTGTTTCTACTCCTGCCGTGCTTCTTCCACGGCGCATTCGCTCGAAATACGAGGGATCCGCGTAATAAAATGTAAAAAATACATATATAAATGAAAATTTTAGATGGTGGCAAGCCGCTATTTGCCGGCCCATTCCTCGAAATTCCTCAAGGATTCAAAAACGGCGAACATTTGGATATTTTCTTTTTTACAAAGAGTCCAATGTAAGAAAGTTTGATTTGTCTCCTCGTCAGAAAAATTATTTAAACCGTCAAAAAAAATTAATTTAAAAATTGTGTCAGGTTCGAGATGAGACTAGCAGAAAAGCCGTACGATGGCTACGGATTTTCGACGGTGCTGCTGATACAGATTGTGGGCGAGGGAAGCGACTTTTGGATGCATTTGAATCGTAGAAAAGGAGCTGCTGTAGGTTGTTAAGCTCCTTGAACTTTAAAATCGAAGCTCAACCAAGTTCTAATAAGTAGAACCATCTACGCTAGTTAATCCAGAACCACTGGCCGGAGAGTGACATCCGAAAAATGGCGCGCTTCGACTGGGATTCGGGCTGCGGATGCTATGCTGGGAAGATTGGGTTATAGTGGGTCCTACAGGTTGACCTTAGTCGGATAAACTTAAACATACCGGTTTTATCAAAATAACTAAAAAATTTCTAGTAAAAATAGCGCGGGCCAGTTCCGGATCACGTCCACCTTCCAGCAAAGTGACATCAACTACCCGGCACATGAGGAAGAGCTCATTAAAACTTATGTTGTTGTAAGTATAACTAAAAAAAATTATATAAAAGCTGTGGTTCAGTTTACCCTCTCCGCCGGCGCCCACCTACTGTAACTCGGCAACCTGTTGTTGTAGCGGCCTGTAAAGTATACCAAAATACTCGCCAGGGCAAGGCAAACATTTTGGTATACTTTATACACCTGTAGATGAACAGCCAGCCGAGATACAAAAGTTGAGTGCCGGCTGGGGGGTAAACTGAACTTTTACCTATAGAAAATTGTTTTAGATAACCCATCCGGCGATCGTAGCGATAACCCATCAATCAGTTAAGGTAACCAAGGATTTTTTTAAACATCTCCGATAGGAAAAGCAAAATTACCAATCCAATCCAATCCAACGCATCAACGTCAATTAGTAATACTAGAGACATAGCAGCTACCAATATTACCGAAAAACTAAAACACCAATTTGAGGGCCGAATCACGAGTCTGATGATGACGCGCGGAAAGGATACGCCAAACCCCACCGACCAATACATGATAGAGAAGATTCGCAAATGGGGCCAAGGACGTGCTTTTCAAAGTACTTAGATAATGCCTATCACCTAACGAATAATATGATTTTTTTCGTTAAAGTACCCCTCATTTAGTGCACCTGGTCCCGCATTTCCCACTCTACGATGCGATGCATTTTAATCAAGGCGATGGCGATCATGGGCCTGTTGAGAATAAGACTATCGAGATCTGCCTATGGGATATCACACCGCTGGACGGAAAAAGATACGCGTTTTGCGGGAAATTAGAAGCAACTCTCGTTTTTAGCTTCTGGATCACGAACAACGGTTACCCGTTCGATCAGAGTCTGGATCGAGACCTTGCGTTTACCTTCGAGTTTGACGTCAAGCAACAGACGGCAATATGGGGATTCCGGAAAAGGTACAGAATTTAAGCCTGATCAGTCAACGGCTGGCAATGCTGCGGATTAGCTATAATCACCGCTTTTTCCACAGTTTGATCAAAGATTTAACCCTACAATTAGCCCTAGGTTTCGGCCTAGCCCAGGCTTAAGTCTGGCCTAAATCGAAGCCAGGATTTAGGCTTGAGCATGAGCTTAACCCTAAACCTAAGCTTTTCCCTATCCTCAGGCTCGCTTAATTTCTTTATTTAATTTGACAATCAAATCGACTGCTTTCAGGGTATCGACTACGCCATGGTGACCAAGCGGCTGCCCAGCACGCATGAGGGTACCCATGACTTGTGCTTCCGGATGGGAATTCGCAGGTTTAATCAATTTTGAAAAATCAGCAATCCATTTTTGAGATACGGTCAAACGGGGATCGTCTGGAAAGCCGATGAGATTTTTGAGGAGGCGAGGAACTGAATAGATGCATTTTCTTTTTCTTTGATTGAATTGACTGTCGCATTTCCAGGAGATTGTCCCTCACGGCAACAAGGGCCAAAAAGCCGAATGGTTGTCGGTATTTTTCTTACGCACAACTCAACAAGCATTTTTAGTTCCAAGGTAAATTTGGGAGTGGCCAGACGAAAGCATGTGTCTCCTATCTAGTTCCCGGCATGATTTTTGTAGGAATTTAGTGAAAACGGCTAAAGCATGCGGATTTAGGGGACGAATCGAAAATGGTGGTATTCAGATGGTCTTCCGGATGAATTTCAGTAATTTATTACACTCTTACTCTCTATTAGGTCTCAACCATTGATGTCTGTAGACGGCCCATCATTATTTTTAAGGCTATGAATAGTAAAGTATCTATCCAGTTATTATTAAAGTATCTTTTAAAGTAACTAATTATGCCCATTTTCAGGAAGCATTGTGAAAATTTCGTGAATGAGTTGAAAGAGCCGCTGGCGTGGAGACGGCTGCGCTATTCGATGGATGGCGAGCAGCAGCAGGATAGAAATCTTGAGATTGATATTTTGAGCCCAAAATAAATAAAAGTTTACCGAGTATACAAATCACGCAAAAAAAAACTTGTGCTCGTAAAAATAAAAAGCTTACTGTCACCCCAAAAAATTGGCATTTTTTACTATGCCTTCTCGATTACTTTTTGGCAAACCCACGCTATAATAAAAACAATATAGCTTTTTCTGTTATCAATATTCGCTATGCAAGGAAGATTTTATGGTTTTTTTTTTAATTTCCCACCCCGTCCCGGCATTTCTGGCCTGATGCTACCGGTGTTTTTCCTATTTTTCGGCGACTTTCTTGGATTTTTAGAATGTGGAAATACGGTCGATCGTTGTAAGATTACTGAATCAAAATACTTACATACTAAGACTAAAAATAACGTACGACCCCTCTTTTAGGGGAAAACTTCAAACTCAACGCGGGTCCCTATCCTATCCTATAAGCGAGAAAAGTATGTGTGTTTTCTGTAATGAAGATTTCTCGGCCGCCAGGCCGAATTTCGCGCTGATTTTTGGCATGGAGGCGGAGAAACACATCCTCTTTATACGCATTTTTTTGTTTTTCGAAATTCCTTCATTTAACTATTTTACAAGGAAAATAGTGTAAAACCCTTAACATTTTGGCCAAAAAAAGGTTTGTTCAGAGACTATCTCGATTGCCTGAATGAGTTAGACCCTGATTTTTGGTGGGTTGATGCATAATGCAAATATCTCGATACTATTTTTTGGATTTTCGTTAATTCTTTAAAATAAGGTTTTTATAAGCATTTTTCTAAAAAAATCCTTAACAAAATGGCCAAAGTGCCGTGGTGTCCGGGCCATAACTCGAAGCCCGGATGGAATTTCGGGCTGTAATTTCGGGCACTTATGTAATCGATAGTGGGGATCACGCGCATCTTATTATTTTGACAAATTTTTGGCAGTTTCAGACTAAAAAATGGAATTTGGTAAAGTGACCAGTAGGCCTCCCTCCCGGAATCATTGGGGCGCCCATTTCTCTGCCGCGTCCCCAGGACAGAAGAGGCCTTCCCCGCTGCCTGTTCTCATCTCGCCCCATGGTGTAGTGGTCTTGCGCTCGGCCTACCATGTGAATGGTCGTGGGTTCGAATCCTGGCGAAACATGACTTTTTTGCTTTGTGGTGGTTTATCAACAGAACATCATTCTAGGCTCTCGGTGTGCGAGGATTAGGCCTGGCATTCGCTCTAGCGCCGCAGGCCAAAGAAAAGGTCCTTGGCCCAGGCTTTCGCGCCGCAGGCCAAGGATCGGTCCTTTACCCAGGCTCTTGCGCCGCAGGCCAGAGAAAAGGTACTTGGCCCGGGTCCTAGCGCCGCAGGCCAAATGCTGGAGAAACACCAGTAGCTAGCGCCGCAGGCCAGAGAATGGCTTCTAGAGTCAGGCTCTTGCGCCGCAGACTTTGAAAAACGGAAGGGGAATATATGGTTCCTAGACGGGGGCCAGTGGAAAAGGGCCGCGAAGCGGTCATTTTCCACTGGTTTGCATATGCGACAAAAGTTCAAGCATGGTGATAGGCTGGAAATATTTTTCTTCAGCCCCTCACAAGAGTTCGAAAATTTTAAGGTTTGATTTGCATCGTCCTAGACCTGTGATAATGCTGAAAGAATCGCCAAAGGCCATTGAAGCTTCTGATGACCCGGTTCCGATCGCGATCCACTTGAACGCTGACCAAAAGACGATCCGTTTTGCGAGGAGGGAGGCTTGGGTACATTTGGGAATTGGTCCTAAAGGGACGGCGACAGCAACAATGTTCAGAGGCTGAGCTCGGAATCAAATACATACACGTTTAGGGTCAGTTCAGCGACGTGGAAACCGGACCAGCGCGAAAAGGCACCCACTACGAGCGGTACTGCAGATGCTACACCGGGGTTATCAAGATGGAGTAAGCTTTTTTAAATTTTGCAGCGGAATACAGCTTTAAATAACGAATTCTTCTTTCCTAAAGTTTGCTTTAGCTGGCGAGACAAAGAGGGCTGGTATATTACATCGGATTGGGTGGACCGAGACCCGGGGAGACCCGAACTAATGTATGAAGCTCCTCAAAAAGCCGTGATGGAGTGGTTTGTGATGATGCAAAATGATGGGATATTGGCCTATGTTCACACTTCGGTAATTCTTTAAAGGAATCACGCTTAAGGTAAGCCATGTTAGCGCGGCCAACGCTTCTCCCGGATGCAATCTCGCGGCGAAGCGGCCCCCAATTATGCGTACCCGGACTGGTATCGCGACCATATCCATTCAAAGCAAGAACAACCCACGTTTCAAGGTATGGAATTACGATTAAAACCTGCATATATTCATGAACCTAGTGGACTACTCCCCATGGTTTTACATTGGCAATAAGACGCTTTTTAACTATCCGGAAAAAATTCGTAATATGACGTTCGCGATTTGCGTGAAGGATGTGACGACGCGGAAGGATATGGAGTGGAGCCTTACTTGACAATAATTGTGTTAATCAAAAAAAACATTTTCAGTAGTTTTTGGATTGTTAACAATGGTCCGCCCTTTAATCAACGCCAAGATCGCGAGTTCAATATTGGATTTGAGATAAATTTGCCGCAAAGAACCCTAACGATGGGTTATAGGCAAAATGTAAGCGTTAGTTTTATACATTTCATTTTATACGATAAAAATTAAATTCATACAGCTAATTTCAGCGGAATCAATATTGTTCTGGACCTAAAAAAAAATAGATTTTCAGGGCATCGATTATCCACTTTTCACGAAGCGTCTAAAACCGAAGGACAAGAAAACGAAGAAGCATACCGTTTGCTTCAATTTTGGGATCAGAAAGTAGGCAAAGTTCTGATTGCAAACAGTGATGTTTAAGACGTGTTGACGGTAGATTCTCATGGTTTGGGACCCACGACCTTGAAACGCACGGCCAATACATTCCCGTAAAATTTGCGCCTGCCAGGTTTTTCTCGGTACGTTTCAATACTAAAAACTACCCAGGCCTGGGAAAGGGCCGGCCCGGGCCGGCCCGGGCCGGCCCGGGCCGGCCCTAAACCCAAAATTTTGGGCCCGGCCCGGCCCGGCCCTACCGCCAAAATCTGGGCCCGGGCCGGCCCGGCCCCGGGGCCGGCCAGGGCCGGCCCAGGGCCGGCCCTACATTTTGACCTTAACTACCGCCATTCATCAGAGGAGTCCTAACATAAGCTGAGAGTACGTTTTTATGTCTCAGGTCATGCCAAATGGCATTTCAGTGATTTCAGATTGTTTCCGGTAGAAAAAAGCAAAAAGCAAAAAATTGACCTCGGTCGGGGTCGAACCCGGGTCGTTTTCCTGGTAAGCAATTTTGATCAAAAATTTATTTTTTTTTGGTTTAAGCTGTGTATATAGATAGCGTAATCTCTATACATGTAAAAATAATAAATATTATCGCTACATAATCGCATTTAAATATATTTCAGATTCGTTCAAGAAGGTCGGGCCGGCCCGGGCCGGCCCGGGGCCGGCCCTGCTTTTCCGAAGGCCGGGCCCGGCCCGGCCCGGCCCGCCAAAACCGCCAAAATTTGGGCCCGGCCCGGCCCGGCCCGGGGCCGGCCCGGGCCGGCCCTAAAAATTCCCAGGCCTGAAACTACCCAGTTACGATAGGTTATCTACAGCAACGGGAAAAATTAGTTTCTAATCGATATTGCGTTTAGTTTGTATTTATTAAAGTAAGGTATCACCTTATAAATTGATGTTTTCAGTTCCAAGGAAAATTTGATGACCTGGACAACAGCAAGGCTATGGTCGCATATTTTCGGCAGGGAACGGTAGACCCCTCTTTACCATGTGGCTTAACTTACAGTACCCAAATCGAGCCATGGAGTGGATGGCCTATTGGTGGGACTCTGCGAAGACCAGGACAGCAATGACGTGCGTTAAAATAATCGATAGCTTCGATAATTATCGATATTTTAGTCAATGGATCCGGGATCGGGTGGCTGATCACATGCTGCCGAGTGGATATGAACCCGCGTGGCCGCTTGAAGATTGGCGACGCAAGAAAATTGCCGTTTCTAATGAAACGCTGTGAACTAAGACATTGTTATTGGATACATCATTTTGTCACCGTCGCAACTACGAGCTTTGATTACGCAACGAAAATCAAGCCACCAAGCCGCCAGGAAAATGAAGGCATAAGGGCAAAATAGAGGCGCGTATCGTCAGCGCACGCAATCTGTTTGGCGAGGGAAAATTTTCACGAATGTGGATGAAGTGCGTGAAGCTGAACAAGCGTTGAAACTGTATGATTTTAGCCAAAAAAAAGATGCAAAGTAAATGAATCTTTTTCGAATTAGTTTTGGTTTAAATAATCCGCGTTGCGCGTGCCAGCGGGTCCTCCTTGTCGTCGGCCGTTTTGTTGCTTGCGGGGTTTGCTTTGTTGCCTGAAATTAAAATTGTAGTTGTATCATCGATTTTACGAGAATAGCTTGAGAAAATAGGCTGAAAGGGACTGTAAGATACAGGGATAAAATTATACTGGTAGTCCTGATCGTCAGCTACGCGCAATTAAAGAATAATCTCCAAAGCACAATCTGGTTCTCGTCCGAGCCGACTCGCAAAAAAAATTGGATTCGCGTATCTGGTGATATGCACCTAATTGTTGGGAGTAGTCGTTTTTCTCCCTTCCTAGTCCCTTAAATCACAATTCGATAACGCGCTCACCATCCCTCCTCGAACTCCTGGTAAAGGGGAGGAAAGCCAGAGTCGGAATAGAGCTGTCGGGAAACTGGCAGATTTGCCGGCTCCTTGATTTCCTTCTTCACCTTGGGGTAAGCGTCCACCAGAATCGACTGTAAGAATTTTTCGGTAAAATCTATTTGGCCTACGTGCAAGCGGCCGTCAGCAGCTTTTAGATCAACCAACAGTCGCTCTAATGCGTGCCTAAAAACCTTTATATATCCATACAAAGTTCCTACTCAGCATCTCCAAGCATTTCAGAATGAGCGGCCATCGCTTTGTCGCAAATTTCCGCAGAAGCGCTCTCCTTCACCGCAGCCAGCTGTTTGTC